CCCCCCCCCTCCCGCGCAAATTCCCTCAATTATTTTTTTAAACTTTTTTTTGTATTTTTAATTTTCTATTTTTTCGTTTTTCTGCACCATCCACCCACCCTCACCCGCAAAATATTTTTCAACTTACACATTTTAAGGCAAAAGACTCTTTAATGCAAGATGAGCATGGTTCTAAAACATGGGTCAAGTTGGGCGGGTTGGGCTATGACTCATTGTTTAGCCCATCTTAGCCCAAGTATATTTTTGACTGGGTTGGGCAATGACCAATTTATTGGCCTAACCCATCTTGATCCGCCCAAATTCAACCCAACCTGCCTATTTGCCACCCCTAAGCCCGCCCTATAACAGGTTTAGTGAAAAGTGATGGAGGTTACAACCAGAAGGTAGCATTTTGAAACGTAACTCAAAATCAGTTCAGTTACTATAAATACATGCAAGGTGACTTTTTTCATTACATTTAGGACTGAACAGGTCTTCCTTCAAGAACGTCTTCTTCTCTGGTATTCCAGACAAGTCATGAGTGAGATAATAAGTACAACGACCAGTTCATAAGAGAAGCTGGCATTTCATTCAAGGAATTGCATCCAAATGAAAAGGAAAAGCTAAAAAGCAAATACAATTCAGAATTTTTAACATCTGATTAGAAATTGCTACTAGACCAATATTCAATGCCCTGGGGTTCAAGAAATGTAGCGCAGTCGAGGAGGTTGCAAGATAATTGATTTGGGAACTATTGAATGACTTGAAAATACAAAGCTCAACAGTCAACAACATATGCAATTGAAACTAGAAATACAAGCCAATACATCAATGGCATGACTATATTTCTCATCGTACTAAAACATGTTTTTATATCAAACCATTTCAGCAGTGATACGAAGAATCATAGAAATATCCATATCCAGTCTAGCTTTCACACAGTAGTCCTATATTAAATTCAAACAAAATAAAGAGTAAAAGACTATGATGCTATGTCGTTACTGCTCTCCTTCGCCTGATTCGCGTTTTGAAGCTTCCTTGATCTCATCCCCGGCATCATCCTGGAATCACATCATTTAACAACAGAAAAACCATTGCAGTGTCAGAATGACAATGGTCAAGGCAATAACAAACAGTCAATTTGACTAAATTGGATTAGTTCAACTCAATATTTTAAAATTATAATTTAGATATAAAAAATTATACAAAAAGTACTATAAGTTACAATTCTTCTCATGTCAATATGATTAAAAAAATGTTAAAATGTTGGTCAAACTTCACAAAGTTTGAATCTCGAGAAGTAAAATGTGTCGCATAAATGAAACGGAGGGAGTGGCATTTAGCAATCAAGCTAGTCCATTTCCTGGGTGTACATGTACAAAGGTCATGCACTTCCCAAAAAACTTTTGCTCGTGTGCACGGTATTGTTGGTGGGTGCATCTGCATTGGTGGGTGTGTATTTCTGAGAGAGAGAGAGAGAGACCGTGGTATCAGAAGTCCAAAGTGTAAGATTGTCTCGGAGAAGTTGCATAATCAATGTACTGTCCTTGTAAGATTCCTCACCCAGAGTATCCAGCTCCGCGATGGCATCGTCAAAGGCCTGAAAAGACACATCACTGTTTATAAATGTCACACTGATAGGCGCATCGTCTTGCCTTTATTTTTCTTTTGTTTGTGTTGCTTTGGCGGTTCCAAAACTACATACTACTACCAGCTACAAAGGTCAGTAGGGAAGAAAACTCCACCAAAAAAGTACAGACAAGCAGACCTGTATTTTAAACTCTGGAATACAAAATGCAACGACGACTATAAGGTTGAGATGTACAGCACATGGAACAAACAGAGGAGCTCAGAAAGTGAAACACTAATTACAACTTCAAGAGTTTATCTTAGCTCAACTTTTCAAACCATTTGTCTTAAAAAAATGCTCTTACAATCAGCTTCAGCTTCAAGTATTTGTAATTAAAAAGCACAAAGAAGGTTGACAGTTAAAACAACTTACACCAAAGTTCATAAAGTTATACAACAAGCATATAAAATATTCAACCATGCCAAATTAACTGCACAATTTGTTTTATCTGCTGACTGGAATGGTAAAATCATCCTTTCCTCAATGCCAGCCAGGTTATAGTATCATCCTTCTCTGATCCTCTTATCTCTTCTTATCCTAATGCCATCACATCCCTTCCCCCATTAAATCTTGGCGAAGGCTTATAACTTTAAGAGACAACTATATTATGGGAAAAAACAATCCAGTCCCATCCCATTTAACTCTAACAACAAACCACAGATTAAAACTATACATCTCTTTAAACATTCATATGTTTGAATATCTATACAGGCTAGATTCATCCATAAAGAATTGCCCCAATAAGGCATCTTTAAACAAAACTTGTAAGCCTAGGAGCTCGTGGTTTTTGGACAATCTTATTCCGTTCACTCTCCCTCAGCAGGAATGTGGGGAATCACAGAATGGCGTCTATGAGATTTGATATGTATCTACTCAAAAGATTATATGAAATAGTATAACTGCGATGTGATAAGTACATCACTTAATTCATAAAGATGTCAATTTCCTTCATCCTACAATTATGTAAACAGCAAAAAGATGCTCATTTGTAGTCCTCCGTTTTGTCTTAGCAATGTGTATATGACTGGACTTCTGGGTTGTCGTTTCCTTCGTGAACTCGCACGGGACAAGGGATTTATTCTTTGGGTTACCGAAAGCCAATTGCGAACTAAATGATGGTTGCTCATGCATAAGCAAAAAAAAATATTCAGATATTTCAATGTATTCTTACCTCCATGCTAACTAAAGAAAAGCAATCTCATTTTACAAACTAGCCCATGCAATTTCTTGTCTCGTCAATCTTTGTCATAATAATATTTGTGACCCTATAGTGAGGTTTAGAATAGATATACACTCCACAAACCCCACTTCGTCTAAAAGATTTACACTGCCCAAACCTCTGGAGTGGCAGCGCTGTTTTCTCTTTCCATCCTTATTTTCGAAAACTAAGTATTACGAATAAAACTCTCTTTCATGGAGCAGAATAGGCAAGTAAAGCCAACAATAACAAACATCAAAAGCTAAAGTTAATTCTTTATTCCCACATGCAATTTAAAATTAGAACAAATATCTCACTGTTTTATAGCCTAAGCACAATCGATCAATCAAACATAAGATGATAATCCAAGTTAAACGAATCGACTGAAGCTGAGAAAGGTACCTGCTTTGCAAGGTTACAAGCACGATCCGACGAGTTGAGAATTTCATAATAGAACACTGAAAAGTTAAGGGCAAGTCCCAGCCTGATTGGGTGAGTAGGAGCTAGTTCAGCCAAAGCAATATCCTAGATCACAAGACATAAATGATAAAACAACTCAAATCATTGTCATATGCAATTAAGCAGGTGAGGAATAAAGAGCTAATCTATGGATTACCAACCTGAGCAGACTTGTAGGCTAATAAAGTGTTCTCTGCGGCTTCTTTCCTTTCTGCCCCTGTCTTAAACTCAGCCAAGTACCTGTGATAATCACCTTTCATCTTCAAGTAAAACACTTTAGACTCGGCTGTTGAGGCAACTGGTATTAAATGGGACTCAAGGAGGTTCAAAATCCCATCACATATCTTGCTGAGTTCAGCCTCAATTTTGCCTCTGTATTCTTTAATGCTGCTAACATGGTCTTCATTTCCACGGCTTTCCTCTTTCTGCTCAATTGAAGAGATTATCCTCCATGAAGCCCTTCTTGCACCAATCACATTCTTGTAAGCCACAGAAAGAAGATTCCTTTCCTCCACGGTCAGTTCTTCAACATCTACTGTCTTTGCGACCTTCTCCATAAACTCAACCATTTCTTCATACCGCTCAGCCTGCTCAGCCAGCTTGGCCATGTACACATTTTCTTCACGTGTTGACTCGGCCATGTTTGTTGTCTAGTTATCTGATGCAACACAAAATCCAGGTAACTAAAATTGACAGATGGCAGAAAATACACATAGCTGGACTCACTTTGTGGGACTAAATAATGGCAATTCTCCTTTATTCCTTGAAATAATGGTGTTGGACTCTATGCCCATGCAATCTTTTGGGACATAAAAGAGCCCTAGAATCACGGATACTAGATTTATGGAACTTTGTAGTCCCAAACACCATGCAGCTAGAAGTTATAGATGAAATTCATGCTTTAATTTTTAGATTTTTACTAAATAAAGTGATAAATTTAATACTCCATTACTCCCTCCGTTTCAATTTATGTGAACTTATTTGACTGGGCACGGAATTTAAGAAGAAAAAAAAGACTTTTGAACTTGTGGTGTAAAATGAGGCACATATATTTTATATGGTTATAAATCATTAAATAAAGGTAAATTATTTCCAAATATGAAAATGAGTCATTCTTTTTGGGCACGGACTAAAAAAGAAATACGTTCACCTAAATTAAAACACAGGGAGTATCATTTATGTATTTGTTTGCGGTCCATAAGTATTTTCATCGTGGCATTGATAGCAAACTGTGACATAAATCCTCATGGGAAACTCATCCATTTGCTTGCTGAAACTCAAATTTAGCATCAATATTCTCAAAAAAAATTTGTCTCGCCAAATGAAATATGTACTTACCCAATCCCAAAACTATTTACTATTTAGTCAAACAATTTTTTCTTTAAACATTACTTTTTCAAACATTCTAAAGGTGTTTTAACTCAGGGACGGATCTATGTGTATGGGATGGGGTGGTACGCCACCAGCAATCTTTGGTAGAGACTATGCAATAGTATGTATACATGTATGTATATATAGAAGGAATGTGTACAAATAATATAAGTGGCACCCCCGTTAACAAAATGGTTCAAGGTGCCACTAGCAAGACACTACCTTTACCACCTTGGTTGCAGGGGATCGATTCCATCCTAGCACAATTGTTTTAAAAGTTTTTGTTTTACGCATTTAAGACCGCATAATTACTGGAGGAGGTTTACTCCTTTACTTCTTCTTTCTCTTTCCTTAATTACTCTTTTTTGTTTGTTAGTAGTTCCTAGTGAATTTTTTTTAATTTTATTAGTTTATTTTTAAAGTTCTTTTCTTCTTTTTAACATAAAATATAAAAATCTTTTCCTTTCACAAATATATTTTTCCTTGTCAAAAAAAAATCTCCACTATTGTGTTTTCCCAACTCCTTCATTATTTATGAATAAATGATAAAAAATTAATTTTTCTTCGGGAGCACAACCCCAGTAAATCTATTTGCAAAAGTAATAATAATAATAATAATAATAATAATAGAAATCCTTGAATAAGTTACTGTTCTAATCAAAGATGAAACTTTATTTTGTTGTCAAATTACTCTAAAGTAGGACAATTTTATATTATATTGAGTGAGTGAATTTTTATAAAAAATAGTAAATTGAATAATGTTCGTAAACTTACGTTTTTTCTAATGTTTAGAGTGCTTATTAGTATAAGTTTTGCTTAATAATGTTTAGAGTGCTTATTAGTAAATTGAATAATGTTAGTATAAGTTTTGCATTGAGTATCTAAATATAAATTGATAACGAGCTTTTTTCTTATACAAAATGTATACTCCAGTTGAATCTTCTGCTTTTTTTCCCATGTTGTCATAATTATTACATTTGTTTTTGCTCGATCGATTTGTCTATATTAACCTCAAAGACGAATAACCCGAAGCGAAACCCAAATAAACAAACAGATTAAATTTACACCCTATTTAAACAATGTAAAATGTAACATGACTACGTTCAAAATTTATGGCACCCAGAGCCTCTAAATCCTGGATCAGCCTCTGTTTTAACTACAAAGTTGTGATTTATAATTCTATGTAGTTCTTTTATAAAAAAAAAAATCGAATTCATACCTAGAATTAAATGTGTTTTCCTCCGTCATCCTTTTCGAGACTTACAATACTTACTTCCACCAAGTTTACACCAAACCAAGCTATTTAAGCTTAAATTAAGAATTAAAGTGAAAATACATATCATTTAATTATAATTAAGTGATAAATGTGTGTTTGGATTGGCCTAAACACCGGGTGCCGGTAAGTTTATAGTGAGTGCTACTTAAAATAAGACTAGCACTACAAACAAGCAATATTTTAATGTAATAGCCCAAGCTCTACCTAAAATCTGAACAAATCAGTAACATTTTTAAATATAGGAACTGAAATATGGATTGAACAAGTACCTGATTGATGTATAGCTAATGGTCTCTGATTGTAGAGCTTTTTTGTGCAGTGGAGGAACAAGGAATAGCTAATGGGGTTATTTATAGTAAGGCGAGTTGAAGAGAAGCGGACTTTTGCAAATTTACACATTTCACGGGTTGACCCTGACCCGTCAAAAGATTCGCTGTGGCTGCCGGTTGGCGTCACGCTGGCTTTCACGGTTTTCATTTGGGGAAAAGCTCCCAATTGTCAAAAACTCCGCCTTTGACCGATGACCATTTTGGATTCGTTTTTATGTTTTGCTTCTAATCCGTTTGTACATAAGAATTTTTTTACTTTTTTCCCGAAATCAGTATTCATCATAAAATTTTAAATTTTCACTTGAAAATTTGAAAAAATTTCAAAAAGTGGTTTTTTAAAATTTTTACCCAGATCAGTCACAAAATTTCAAAAATAATTCAAAATTATATTCATTACCAAACACAACTCTAATTTTCAAATACCATTTTCACTTGAAATTTTTTCCACTTTTTTGGAATGTTACAATTCTTATGTCCAAACACCCACTAAGTTTATGTCATTTTTTCTTCCCAAAACCATTAGAAAGTATTTGTTTAGTTTTGCAGCAAATATTGCGAGATCCAAAATACAGATATGCTTATAAGTAGTTATGTAAGGATTATAATATCAAAGTCAAGTAACGTTGATATTGCTAATATATGTAATGTTATTCTACTTTTTATTTTGTATAAAACAACAAAATATATAATATCTCGTATAAGTTATGTTGGCCTTTAAGTTATAAAGAATTTTATATTAAAAAATCAAATATTGTACCACAAATGTTGATGATGCAAAAGTTTCAATTCATAAGCCAAACTTAATATTAATACAGAGTTTTATGTTGGAATTATTTTTTTAATTCTTGTACATGACCAAATTAAACTTCCTCCCAAGCAAGTCCCAACCCGAGTCGCTTTCACGTTTTCTTTTTCTTTTTAAGTTTGCTTTCTATTATTTCTATCCTGTTATGATTTTTTTCACATCATAGTATTTTAGTTTCATTTCTGCCGTTCATTCGTTCTAATTTAGACCGTCTAAATGAGAGACCAATTGCTTTTAGCAATTAGTCCTCTTTAGAACAATTGCAACGTAACGGTTATATCTATCACAATCCTTAGACAGCCCCATTTTGTTAAAAGACGATAACGTTTGCGTGTTTAAAGTTACAATTTAACACCATCACTGATCTCATGAGCTGCTCATTTATGTTAAAGAGATTGTTTAATTTCGTTTTTGTTGGCCAAGGATTGTTTTGAAGATTGACAAAGAAAGCTCAAACATGAACCAAGTTCTATCTCTCCGGTCCATCCTTTGTGCACATAGAAACGGGTAGATTCGAGCAAGTGGGATGCACGTGAAGGAGATAAGCTTAACTTAGTATATTTGATATCTACTGATCGAAAAGGTTGCATAATTTATAAGGAGAAGGACTTCTTAATTAAAGATAACACTATTCAAGATAGAAAAGGAGTTAGAAGTTGAGATCAACTAGAGCTCTTCCACCAAGGAAGAGTAGCATTAAAACTCTAGTTATTTCTTCATCTACTAACTCTATAAATTGCAGAATGTTTTCACATTACAAGGGTTGCACAAACGCAGAAGTTAAACGTGAATTGAGAACAAAATAGCAAGGCAATTTTGCAAGCAGTTCGTGTGTGATTCAAGTGTGCAAACCTGGAGCTACATGAATCAGATAGAAGAATCATCTCCAAGTGTCTGTCTTTTATTCTAGTTCAATTGTAGTAGGTGTTTACCTTTCAGTTTTATCTAGAGGCAATTGTAATAGATACTCAGAGTATTCAAGTTAGAGTTAACTTGAAGTTGTCGCAACAGTTAGAGGCTGTGTGCTACAACGGGATTAGAGTTAGTCCTAAGTTTACAAAAGAGTTTTTGTAAATGCAGTTTTTGGCTCAGTGATTTTAATGGAGAGTTTGGGAAAATCCTACTGGAAAGTAGGTAGTGGTTTTTTTTTACCTTTTGAGCCAGATATTTTTCACATAAAAATACTTGTGTTCTTTACTTTCCGCATTTACTATTTTTACAATAGTAGGTTAAGGAACACTTAGAAGAATCAGGTCTTTCCATAATCAGTTTAAGCGAAAAATTGGTCACCACCCAAATCAGAAAAAACTTACCCGCACCGGATGTTTACACAAAATCAATAGATACATGACATGTGTCTTGCATATGGACTTCAATCATTTAACCATGGTAAATCATATGCATTCTCATCTAATTCAATTAGGTAACCATAGTGAGTTAATATAGTTTGGTGTAAACACCCGGTGTGGGTAAGTATTTACCCACAAATCATCCCCTTCCCCCTCCTCCTTGTGTGGTATTGAAGTTAAAACATCAGCTTTTGTGATGGAAAATTTGTGATCTGACTTATAGCATGTTTGGCCAAGCTGGAATTTTTTTTTTTTAGAGAAAAGTAGTTTGTGTTTGGTTAATCAATTTGAAAAGCACTTTTGAACAATAATTTGTGTTTGGCTAAACTTTTCAAAAAATACTTTTAAGTGTCAAATTACAAATAAGGACATAAAAAGATTTGCTTAATAGTTAATATTATATAAGTAGATAAATAAGTATAAATATTTATTATTAAAGATAATAATCAAGTTTTTTATTTTATTTAAGTAAAATATAATAATTAAATTTAAAAATACTTTATTCTTTCAAAATAATTTAAATATATCAAAAAATCATTCAATAAATATGAAAGTTCATCTCAAAAGTCATTTTATATTACTTAATAGTTTAAACTAAGTAAGGTTATTTTGGTATATATAAGATTTTGCAAAGGGTATTTTTGCTAGGAAGAAAAGTCAAAACTACTTCTACTTATGCTTCTAGGAAGAAGTTATTTTTTTCTGCTTTTTCAAAATTGCTTCTGTTTCGAGCCAAAAGCACTTTTTTCAAAAACAGCTTGGCCAAATACCTCAAATTTGGCCAAAAAGCACTTTTTTGGAAAAAAAAAACACTTTTGGCTGGGGAGAAGCTTGGCCAAACAGGCTATTAGCTTATTTTAGTGGGCATTTGGACATAAGAACTATAAATTTTCGGAAAAAAAATTCAAGTGAAAATGGTATTTGAAAATTAGTGTTGTGTTTGGACATAAATATAATTTTGGATTTTTTTTTGAATTTTTGTGAGTGATGAGTGAAAATTTTGAAAAACAGTTTTTGGAGTTTTTTAATTTTTCGAAAAAATCCAAAATTCATCTTCAAGTGAAAATTAAAAATTTTATGGCCAAATACTGATTTCGAAAAAAAAAATTAGATAAAGTGAAAAACTTTTCATGGGCAAACGGGCTCTTGAAGAGGCTACTTCCTGCTTTGTGACGCCTTTATAATAAAATTTATTAAAATGGATGGAATTTGTGATGGATACGAAGATCCTTTTACAATCCTTAATAAGAAAAGACCTTATGACAAAAATGAGGGTTGTTGTTGGAACGCGATTAATCTAAATAAATTAGATTGTGGTGTAAATTATAAATATAGAACTTGTTTTTGTAGCGGAAGCGAAAACTAAATGAACTGTGGCTGGTCGGCGGTGGTTGTCACGGTGTGTTGGAGCAACCCCCAATTTCACAATCTAAACCCTTTGGATTGAGGGAGAGAGAGAGTTTGCGTGGAAAAATACTGTAGAGAATCTATTTTATTGTATATTGTAAGTATACTTATATAGGGAATCTAGGGTTAACTAATAACCCTATTGGGCCTTAAAGCACCCCTTATGGGTGGACCCAAAATTTCTTACATCTCCCGCTCACACATAATGGGAGTGTTCATCTAGTCTAAGAAACATATTTTCTTCTCATCTCCTCGATAATTCATCATTCATACAGGGAAATAGACTATGTGACCAGCATACTGTAAGAGCTAAGTGATATACATATATTAGGAGTATATAACCTCTCGTCGAGTGCAAAACTGAAAGTAGATCATAAAGTATGCAATACCCTAGATCATACGAATCATATTTTGACATAATTTCAAAATCTCATATATCATTGAGTGTGTTTGGTATGAAGGAAAATATTTTTCAATTTTCTCATGTTTGGTTGGCTTAAATGTTTTGGAGAACATTTTCTTTATGAACTCATTTTCCTCCAATTGGAGGAAAATGTATTCCTTATCAAGAGAAGGGAAAACATTTTCCAAAACTCCTTCTCAACCTTCCCCACCCTCACC